TACGAACACGTGAAATTTGACGTAAGTCTGCAACCAGAGCAGCTGGAATGCTGAAACTTTCCGAGCGCTACCCAGGACCATGTTTGAACAACTGCGGGCGAAGAAAGCATTCACGTAGCCACTCACGTATGAACACGTAAAATTTGGCATAGCTTTGCAAACGGAGCATCTAGAGCACTGATCTTCTGGGCATGGATTGGGAGTCATTGTAATGATTGCTAACAGGGCCAGTCCCAATTCTCTAAGCTAGAAGCATCTGCGAGGAAGAACGTGCCGCTGGCGAAAAAAACCTGCGGGGGTAACCGCGCAAAAAACGCATCTTCGTACCGGCAGCCGGTACGCTTTCTACTAGGTTTTGGATTTTATAGGCCATACAGTTGGTGGCACTCTTTTAAATCTGCTTGAGAAGCTAGGTTGAACAAACTACGCTTATTACACATGCCGGTATCATTCCATATTGTTGAAATCCAAGATTAGTTTGTTTCTTCTGCAGTCGAGTGGTTGTGCAATATATCCACTCAGCCCGCAAATGGGTGCCCTCTCCCCCTCCTCCTCTTCTAATCTGCAATATGGAGAACAACTTCTGAATACCAATTACAGCAGAAGAAATCAGAAATCATCAAAAATTTGATTTAAAACTTTAGTAATTTGAAGAAAATTGCTGATTTATACCTTTTCAGGATCATATCGTGGAGCAGTGAAAACTGTTACCAGTTTACGCTTACAGAAGAAGCTAAATCCGTTCACCATCATCTGAAAAATTTTGCACAGATTACTGAAAAGTGCGCCTGCTCGCTCGTTTAGTCTTCTTGTCAAAGTATGAATGATTTTAGGCACATTTTTTCTGCAAGCCCAAAACGCGTTTTGTTTATGCCTTCTCACATGTAGCGGGTTAGTGTCTGCCTCTGTCTTGACGGGTAATTCTCAATAGCCTTTTCATTACTATTGTAAAAATAAATGTAATTTTATTCTGCAGCTTGCTAGGCTAAATGACAACTGGAAATGTTGATTTCAAATTCCGTGTTTTCATAGCTGCCTTACTTTTGAATGATAGCTAGATATATTTTTGAATGATAGCAATTTCTGAATGATTTCTGTAAGTACAGGGATTGCTCCGCGCGACTTGCCATTTCTTCCCCTCCGCCTTCCAACCCCCCCTCACCGGCTTTCCCATCTTCCCCTCCCAATAAAGCCTTGCTTGTCAGATAAGTTTTTGGAATTTGTAACAGAAAGAAAATTCTGAATTCCAAATCAAAAAAAGCGAAAAATCCAGACCTGATGTGCGCGTACAATCATATCCAGATTCAGTTTTAAGCAAGTCTTTATTACGGTATCTTCACCGAAGCAAACGCTAACACCTCGAACAATGTTGCTTACGAAACCAGTGAGGTCCACTACTGGATCAGACCATAGCAAATCGCAGGCTAGCGGCGACTCCTCCATTGACTTTATTGGCCTTTTTATCTGGAATATGTACATATTTAATATGAAGAAGCATAACAAATCTGTTATTTTGCATCAGAATTTGATAAAATGGAAAACGAATGTTGCCTGAGAGTAAAAGGAACCCCGGCTAAAGAGATTCTACTTGCCGTTATGTCAAGATAACTGCTATTCCTGCACATGCGAATTTTATCTCTAATTACAAACGGTCTGCACTTACTGTTTGTTTGTGTGTTATAAGTGATTAGTGATTTAAAAAGCAAGAAGTTTCAAAAATAAAAGTTCAAAAGAAACAGAAAAGAAGCTAAGAGACGAATTTTTGTTCAAACAAATTGAAAGCTGCTAACTTGCAGCTGATGGCGCGTACAGTAAATGTCAGAGAATCTCTCAGAGCTTCGTTGATTTTTTTGTGTACTGTCACATGATCCTTTCGTCTAAACTGCTGACCTAGCCAAAGCTGGATTAATTCAGTGAGTGGCAAAATTTTGCAATTTTGGTTCTTCATTTGCGGAAGCCTAGCTAACGCAAGTTTGTCATACGGACAAGACAAAAAAAAATTTTTTTTCACACCAGTGAATTCATCCATAAAACATACGTTTCGTATATCATCGAGAGAGTTCAGGTGCGGGCTCAGTCCGCCATGCATGCATAATATTCGTTTGTGAACGAGCGCAGCTAATGGTAACAAGTCGAAAACACTGTTGAACATTATCCAGAGAGCTGTGCCCATGGTCTCCTCGAAACGATCCACTAGTTCTTGGTAGAAGCCGTAGTTTCGATTGATGAATGCTGATTCGTGATTGCCGCGAAGCAAGTTGAACTGAAATTATCTCCTGTGCCACTATTTTTTTTTTGCTGAAACTCGAAATCATTTCTGTTGCTAAAGATTGTGTCGACAACGACCTTTCAGTTTCGTTTTATAGGGAGTTTTCTAGAAAAAACAGAATTTTTGAAATCTTTGCTGACGGATATAAGCGCCAATTATCTTTTATGCGCCACTGGTACTACTTTGATATTGCAGAAACTGCTTGACCCGGTTACAGCAAAATAGACTTTCATTCACGTGCTTCTTAAGTCATCACCAAGTTCGGTGCATGTGCTCTGATGTGATTAAAGTAGAAGTGTGAAGAAGTAGATGCTTCTTTGCATTTTCTAGTTTGTAATCGGTTTCTTTTTTCCAAAAACCGTAGTTTTTTTAAAATTTTAAACTGTCAAAGATCAGCTATTGTATTACTGATAACCTTTTATTTTAAATTGCTAATTAATGAGGAGATTTTCTACAGTGATGTTCTTATAAATCATGGGGATTATTGTCATGCGAGAATTCTCCATTAAAAAAAAATTTGGTTGTTCTAACGCATAGAAAATTTTTTTCATTTTTTCTTACATTTCCCCAAGAAAGTAAATCTTCAAAGTACCGCATTACTCGAAGAATTTCTGACTGTCTCAACGACACTTATTTGTTTTCTCATTACTTAAATTTTTTCCGGTTTAAATCTATATGAACATATTTGAATCTTTCGAGTGATTCAGCAGAGTATGCAGGAGATATTTTTAAATAATCTGAAACGTGAATGGGTCATAATCGAAAACGGCACAGCCAGAAATGGTGATGCTAAATCCTGAATATCCTGCATAATGCTTTTTTTCCCCAAAAGCTAACTTCGTGATTACTGTGTTTCCAAAGGATTTGGAATCTCACGGACAATTGTCTTTACATGTCACTGAGGCAATATGCTGATAACCCAGTTAGCAGTCAGCGTTTCAAATGAAAAATATTCGTGGAGGCTTGCTGAAAAACTGGGAAAAAACGGGACAGAACAAAACGTTGTATTAAGAAATTTTCTTGAAATTTTGAACCATTTTGGGGAAGAGGAGTTTGTAGGCGAACAAGCAGCAAACACATTCCAGAGAATTGTTGCCGCGGTCCACGTAGTCGCCGAGAAAAAGATATCGACGCATCGTCGCCCCGCTTCGTCCATTCTTTCCAGTCATCACGAACATTCGTTGCAAATCCAGATACTGTAACTCTACAGCTGTAGATTTTCCTTCTGTGGGAATATTTGCTTTTAGGCATACGGGGAAAGGACGACACGATAATGGCTGTAACCGCTTTTACGGCCTGGCGCAGCCAAATAGCTCGAAACCCATATTAAGGAAGCAAAGTCATTCGCAGGTGTTTTCATGGATTGACTGCCTGTTCTAACGAGTGATTGCATTTTTAGCTTGTTGCTTAAGTGGTTTCTCGAAAGAAATGACCATCAGCCTTCCATATTCAGTATAATTCACTTACCTCCCCTCGCCGGTGGAATAGATGATGTTCTAGAACACTGCGGAAAACCTTGCCAATGAGCACAAGCATCAGCTGCATCTCAGTAAACCGGTCTGCACTTCCGGTCAGGCGACGTCGGGACTACAAAGCGGTAAATTGATGAACCTGGCCGTGTATATCGCCGACGATAACGCACGGTACTGGAACTTCTAGAAGCGAGCTTTCGCTAGCAAATATTGGCCTAATGTCATTGAGTATGCCAATAAGCTCATCTGCCTCATAATCAATATCTGAAACCATTTTGAAAAATTCATCGATGATATGGATGAACGGTACCTTCTGGTGGGCTACACAGCGCTGGAACACTCGACGGACAAACCGTAGTCGGGGCTATCTGTGCAATAAACATTTTTTCAAATGATAAGTAAAAAGTACTGAATTTTATGCACAGCAGGCGAAAAATTAGTGCTAATACCAGTTCTAACGCAACGGTCACATCAGTGATCTTCCCGTTACCCAAGAAGATAAGATACTTCTGCAAGTGAAAATCGTGCAGTTTTTTCAATTTCTGGGATGTCCGCACTCTTGTTTTGAATTGGATACAGATTGGTCCGTATAACAGACTGGAGGCTATGTTTCTGGGCACTTCTAATACGAAAATCTAAAAAAAATGAATTGATGAATACCATCGCCATCTCTCAGGAATGTGTGCTTTTTTAGAAAATTTATATGTGATTTTCGTTTCGCGTCCTCAGCCTCACGCAACCGCTTCTCCTCCCTGCTTTGCTTGGGCATATAACCAAATTATGATACAATATTCGAGTGGGTTCTGTAGTAGCAGGCACTGAAAATTCTTATCGCAGCATCTTTGCTACGCTATACCAAAAAAATTCTTTTCCAGCATAAAATCATCTGGACCACAACTGCGAAGCATCAAAATTCAGCAGCACCAAGCAGATCAGCTTACCTTACTAGCAGGGCTAAGTATCCCTTCTCCAACCGACCACCTTGCACTTCAGTAAATTAGTAAATGATCCATCACGCCTATCGGCCCATCATTTATACAGAGTGTATTGTGACAAAAGTGGAATTACAAGATATAACTGAGTAACCCAGGCTGGAACGCACCAGGCGGGCCCGTGCGATCATACATTTTTGCACCGGACATGAAGTACTCAGGTCGTCAACTGCATGAATGGTTGTTGCTTTACACCTACATTTTGCCATCACTAGCATAAATCACCATAAATTTTGCATAAAGTAGATGTACAATTTCCATTTAACGATCATCCTTTAAAAGTAACCTAATTGCTTAGTCAGAAATTCAGCCAAAATTTTAAGTGCCCGTACGTAAGAACCACGCGTACCTCAAGACTGGATTTGAAATACTTAAGTCGTTCTTGGGCAGAAAACATCCCCCTACAGTTTCAGCCTCCCGGCTTTTCTAGTTGCCAAGTTAGTAATTTTCCTGCAGGAACTTTCATAAATCCTTGCGTAAGTACCACGCATAGCTTGGGGCTGAATTTGAAATATTTGAGTTGTACTTGGACAGGGAATAT